TTTTTTTTTTTTGCTTGTTGCTTATTTTTCTATTCACATATAAGTGCAAGTTTCAACTATTTGCCATGAAAAAAGACTGATCAAGTTTACCAAAGGCCGTCAGTCGCCTGGTTTGGGAATGACCATTAATTAGAGACTTCATATCAATATACATTTTCACAAGAAAAAGACATGATCCTATATTTTCCTAAGATTTTATCAAACTCTTCTGTGATAAGTCCTACCTGAACTTAATATCTTGATCCAATATGGTAACTTAATTCTCTAATCTCATTGGATTAGCAATGGATCACAATATTAAATTGGGTTCATGGTCAATTCAATGATCACTATAGCTAGATTAAGTCAACACACACACACACACACACATATATATATATTGGATTAGGTGTGTAATGCTAATGAGCTTCGAGAAATTCAATTGTTAACCAGTTTAACCNCACACACACACACACACACACACACACACACACACACACATATATATATGCCATATATTGGATTAGGTGTGTAATGCTAATGAGCTTCGAGAAATTCAATTGTTAACCAGTTTAACCATGCAAATTTTTACTTGGTCCTACTTAATTACCTTGTCACCAGTGAATATTTTGCTATTTTTTTAGTGGGTACGATTTCTGTTTTTGTTTTCTTATGTGTTCTTTAAACTTGAGTAGATTATTTACCTTTGAATTGAAATAAGAAGTACGATAATCGAAACCAATTATTAGAGTTGATGCATGCATTATTGTGACAAATGGAAGTATATATGTTGGCAGGGAATGCCTCCATTCCAGCTGCACTGCCCGAAGAACGAGCTCTTCTTGAACTGTTTTTGTCCCAGTTCACTCCATGATTGTGAACCCTTTAAATGTCATGTTACCAACCATTCTTCTATAGTCAACAAATATCTAGGCAAAATTCAAATAATCAGGTAATAGGTTTATTATACTTGTTATCAACGGCCCAGTGGTAGACCTTGCGACTTATTGAAAGCAAGGCGAGATAAAATTTAATTAAAGGTTACCATGAAGAAGTTAATGTTTGATGTTGTGGTATTTTGATGTAGAATTTTAGTGCTTATTTTTTGGACTAATATAATTGGTTTGCATAATTGACTTAAAGTTCTTTTGATATAGGTTAGAACTTGATGGAGTCAAGCTTTTTTTTCTATTTCTAACTGCAAAACTATAGAGGTGCTATTTGAAAATTCTTCAAATGACAAGATTCCTGCAAGCACAAAAGCACAAGCAGCTTCTCTGTGTTACTAGGGACAATGGCATTCTTAGAAGAGTTGCTGAAATTGTTTAGGTTGGTAACAAATCCCTCCCGCTTAGAGAATGGACTTCTAATCAACTCATTGATTTTGGTTCTATTTTTGTATATTGACTTTTCTAGCAAATTTCACTCAAAACCCTCCTCTAATCCTAGCTATCTCTTACTTTCACTCTATTTCAATATCTTTATCCCAAAGTGTCTCTTTTTTCAATATTCATTGTACTACCAAACCCATTGAGGCTCCTTTGCATTTGTCTATTAGAATAATTTCCATTAAGGAGGTTTCTGTTTTTGTTCCTACATATGGATGTAATACTACGGTCATACATTACTTTAAGTGAATTTTGTTACTTTGCTATTTTATTTATCTTTTGCTTTTATTTATCATTGGCCATGTCAATGAAAAGTAGCAAAAAACTATAATTGATGCTCATAATGCAGTTTCTAAACTCCGCCAGTCCACGTCTCTTTGTTTTTTTATCATTCCAAATTTATATTGTTGACCCTTTGGATCATAGAGGATTGTAAACCAAAGGCAGAGTTTCAGATTGTATATTCTAGATGAAAACTTCCATCAATTCAAGTACTACAGTTGGGGACATTGTTTTTAGTTTAACAATTGAATTTTTTTCCAGCCCATCATTAGAGATTTGCTTATGCTTAACAGTGTCAATTTGTGTTTGCATTAAAACATCAATAAAACTAAGAGTCTTAATCTCACCTATTTTATTTTTTGTCTTGCCATTAAACAAAAATTGCCACTGATTAGTGTCACAGAACTTTTCATGAACAAACTACATGAGAAAAAAGGTAGTCATCTTCAATAGAGGATAATTTCAATATATTCCATAACAAAATCATAGTGCTTATTATACATCGAAAATCTTTAACATACAGATTTTTGGTGCAGCCATCCATAAGTAATTATTGTCAATAATAATTTCGATCAACTACAGTCCACATGCAACGCACGTGTGCATCTACTAGTAAATGAATAAACGCACAAAAAAAACCTAACATGACACAAATTCATTATAAGAACTAGCATAAGCAGTAGGTTTATTATATATGAAGTAGCATAGGTTTTTGTTTTGTAGTCCTCAAGTAGGTTTAACAATTGGCCGAAGCTTGGATTTGTTTTGACGTTAAGTCTTAATGTCTCATTGTTTCGTTTTTTTGCCGTAAGCCTTTGTTGTCTTCTTCTTTTAAAGTAAACCCTGCAAACTGAACCAGATTTCCAACTCCAAATTCAATTTTCATATTTTTTTGGTGAATCTTTTTTGTTTGCTTGAAATCGTTAATTTGATTGTTTATTGTTAATAAGACATAAAATCGGAGAGAGGAAGGTGTTGAACAAGTATTATCTGGTAGACTTCGATCTAACAAAAATATCGAGACGAAGACAACTTAAATACAGAATGATTAAGGTTTAGATGATGCTTCCCATGAATATTCGATGCAATACTTGTGGTAATTATCAATACTACTGTAAAATATCAATATATTTAAAAATTATTTTTTTCCATCTTTATCTCTCAACAATGCAATTATAACATTCTTATCTTTCAAAATCAATTGCATATTAAACCCTAGTTATGCCTTTAAGCCAAACTTACTGTTCACAATCATATTGCCCTTACATTGCGCACACTCTCCCTCTCTCTTATTCATTACTGGATAAAAAATAATGATAAATTACATTCACACCCCTGACATTTGGTTTTATTACACGGACACTCCTCACATTTTAAAAATAACACCAAACTCCCTTGACATTTAAAACTTGTAATAGTCACACCCCTTCAACTAAAAGACGTTAGACTTGTTAATAATCAAAGCCAAGGTCATCAATTATAATTCTCAAAATACCAAAAATACCCTCCAAATTACCACTCATTTATTTTTTTAATCTATATATGAAATATATAGATTAAAATTTAACACTTAAATGTTTAATTTCTAAATATAATACTTTAATAAATAAAATATTAAATTTTTTGTTTATTAAATAATATTTGATACTATTAGTACAATTTAAAAGTAATCATTTTTTAAAACCTTAATAATTACCTAATCCAATCCAATTATCTCATATTAAATTAATTCTTGTTTATTATTTATCTAATGACATAAATTTTTACTCTTGCCACCCATCACCACCAGTTCCACAACTGACTAAACCTAGCTACCACAATAGTGCATCTGCCACCCAATACATCCAAACACCACCAGCACAGAGAGAGAGAGACCATAACCCCATTGAAACCACCTCCCCTTGCACCACTGAAAACCACTACCTAGACTAAAACCATCATCAACTGTCTCCGTACATGACCCTTCTCCTCCACGACATCACCACCACTGCATCGCCGCCAATTCAGTAACATGCACCAATAATCACCACCACTACAGAGACACTCATCACCACCATGACCACCACGAGCTTCCAGAACTGTTACCACCCACCAAACTCCTCAACCACCACCTTCTAGAGATAGAGAGAGAAAGGATATGGCGATTGTGAATGACACCATCGCCTCCACCATCCAAAAAGCCACTGTCGACGCCAGCAATGCCACCGTCCAAAACCCAACAGTTCCACCACACAAAATTAGGGGTGTTCAAAATTTTAATTTGTCTTAATTTTTTATCTTACCCGACCCTATTAAACGGTTAGCCGAAAAAATCGGATAGGAATACGGAAAAATTTTTGGTCTTCCGATTAAATCGGGTAAGAATGCAGAATTTTCATTAATTTTTGTACTCCTACCTTGCTCTATCGGCATTAATTTATATATATATAATTGTTATTGTATTTATGCAACAATTATGATAGATTGATGTTTATGTTTTCTTGTGTTTTATTATAATTATTTTAGGTTTTAGTGTTATTAAATTAGTACATGTTATTTAATTGAATTGTTAAAATGATCTAAAAATTAATAACTATAAAAGTGTTCACCCGATTTCCTACCTTACTTTTTACCCGATTAATTTGGTTAGAAGTCGGGTAAGAATATCACACTTAATCGGATAAAATAGGATAAAAAAAATTTTTTTACAAAATATTAGATAAAAAAATAAAAAATTATATTTTTTACCCGTATGGCAGGCCCTACACAAAACCAACCATCAACACTCAACCTCAATCATCTAAAACCCACCACTAAATTTGAACCACAAAAAAATTCCAAAAAATTAACCACAAAAGTCAGCCGCAAATTCGATCCGAGAGGTAAATCCCAAAAACCCAACTGTACAGCAACACCGCTAATAGCAGTGGAAATTTGTGCTTCGATTTAATGAAATCGATTGGAGAGTATGATGACTCACCCATTTCATGTGGGTTTTATAGATCTAGAGGGAGAAATCTTTAGATCTGGGGTTTGTTGTGGGGAGTGGGCAGGGGCCTGAGAGAGAGACAAGGAGGTCGGGAGTGGTGGTGGTGGCGGTGGCAGTTGGCTGAGTGTGGTGGCGTGTTGCAGCGAGGGGGAAGGGGTCCTGGGGGATCTGTGAGAGGGAGAGAAGTGAGGAGTTGCAGGTTTTCAAGGAGAGAGAGAGAGAGGAGGAGCAGTGGTGATGGTCATAGAGTGAGGTTTGCAGGTTTTCACACAAGATTTCCGATTTCCAATTTCCGAATTCGGTTCCACAAAAACTCTATAACTTCCGTCACCTTTTCCACTACCTCACATCCCACGGAAAACTTTCATTCCGGAGCCAGTTTCTCTGGAACGACAAGTCATTTCCATGTGGTCTCCCTCTTCTTTAGACAGGACGCTCCTCAGAACCGATAGTCTAAGAATGGCGCTGACATCGACGACTTTCTCAAAGGTAGAAGCTGATGATTCTCCCTTAATGTGCTCTGTTTGGACATGTATTGTTCGTGAAAATGCCAATACTATCATTGCCTTTTTTCGCTCAATTTTTAATTTCACGTCACTTTCATTCAAACCATATTATTGCAGAAGGGAGAGAAGCGTAGAGCACAATAATCAAACGGACCAAATCTAGCCGTAGCCATTTGTGGTCAGAGGATCGAGGGTGTTGAAATTTTTTGTTTTCTCTCTTTTTAGTTTTTTGTAAGAAAATTTAGAGTCCGGTCCTCTTATATGAATTTGTTTGGACTTAAATCTGTTAAGGAAATTTATTTGTTATGAAGTCCGTTTTTTTGTTAATTTTTTCATACTATTCCTTCCCTTTAGAAGTGAAATAAAACTAAAAATTAAAAACTCTTAAATCTTAGAAGTTTGACTAACATTAAAATCTTTTTTCTCTTATATATATTTATATTCATATATAGGTTAAGAGTTTGACTAACACTAAAATTTTCTCTCTCTCTTATCTATCTATATATAAATTATATATATAGTAACATTAAAAATAAAAAATAGTAACATTTAAATACAAAAAAAAGTTATCATTTAGACACAAAAAATAATACACTTAAATACAAAAAAATAGTAACATTTAAACATAAAAAAAATTGAAACATTTAATATTAATATTTTTAAAAAATAACAACAGTAACATGTTCAATAAAAATATTAACATGTTCAACAAAAATAATAAGACACTTAACAAAAACTGTAACATACTTAACAATAATTATTTTTCTCATATTCAAATGCAAAAAATAGTATCATTCAAATACAAAAAAAATAGTAATTTTCAAAAAAAAAAAAAATAGAAACATTGAATATTGATATTTAGGAAAATAATAGTAGTAACATGGTCAACAAAAATAGTAACATGTTCAAAAATAATAGTACATGAATAGTAACATACTCAACAAAAACAATAACATGAACAGTAACATAATAAAAAAATAATAACATGAATTTGAATTTTACTATTCAAATTCATAGTAACTTTTTTTTTTGTATTTGAATGTTACTATTTCTTTTATATATATAGATAAGAGAGAAGGAAAATTTTAAGGTTAGTTAAACTCTTAACTTATATATAGATATAGATAAATATGACTGAGAAAAGATTAACTTCCCTTCAAGGAATGATATTTTTGAGATAAAAAAAAAAGTGGACTTAAGTCATTACATATAATTTTAAATATGAATTTAGCCCTTTATAAGTTTCCTTACAGGACTTATCTCCAAATAAGTACATTTAAGAGGACTCACTCTCAATTTTCACTTTTTTCTAGACGCTGTTTATTTGATTGACAAAAAAAATACATGAAAACCCTGCAAAAAAATAATTTAACATTTCTGAATCACCTGTTTCCTCTGTTTCCCTGGGGGCCAATGGATTTTTTAATTTTTCGTTATTGTTGCACTTGCAGGCTCTCTGAGGATTTTGGCTACAAATTTATTTCCAAAAATACTCCAGAATTCCATCTTCAAAGTATGGTTCTACTATCTGACATTCGTTAAATTAATACTTTCTTGATCATGAACCCAATTACCCAACTATATATTGGCCCACTAGCATGGGTCAAGGAAAGAAAAATATGCTATGAAATAGAAGCTCTATTTTCTAAGTGTCTGTGCTCTGGGTAGGTTAAGTTTTAGGGATTAGAACAAGAATCAAAAGGCCTGTGTCGAAATACTTCAAATATGAAAGCATTCAGGGCCACACAAATGCATCCAGTGCTATATGGAAGGATGTCGTGTCAATAGAAAGATCTTGGAATATTTGGGTTTTTTTTAAAAAATAGTTCTGATCTCTCTTTTGATTTTTTTGAGGCACCCAATTGCTATATTCATTGTGCATTCAATGGGAAATGCATTGACTTTGTTAATTTACATTGGCTCAAAGTTGTTAAAAAATGTCATGTTCACCTAATATTCATCCTATCCTTTCTTAATTAGCATCTTTGTGTGTACGTCAATATCCAATTTTTGGAGAAGTAAGTATTAACTTGGTGCATATTGTATCAATCTAAAGTAGATAGAATCTCATTAGTTTTGTTCAACTTTGACGTTTTTTTTCTCGGTTATTAGTTTAACATTTGATTTTAGGTAGTCTCTAACTAGTTATAAGCATTTGTTATATTGATTTTTGGTCGGAGTAATTATTGCCTTGATATTATTGTTTTGTTTTGCAGTTTACTCATCACATAGTGTTTTTTGAGGTTATACAACCATACTGGGGATTGTTATTCAGCTTACAAATTTATTTCACATTTATAGAATCTTTATTTGAAATGTATAAACTTAAATTTCTATAAATGCTTGATGCCTAAATAATAATAACAATACACATTGTATTGAGTATGGCTGTCCCAAGTTTAGCATTTACCGTGTTGTCCTCAATTAACTCTTTCACAGACTTTTGTTTTGGCCCTTTTTTTTAGTCTAATCCTTTATATCTATGATTGACTATAATATGGTTATGTCCTTTTTGCCGATCACATTTGAGTTAAACTTGCTGGGTTGCATTCAACCATTGCTGGGTATGCTGTACAACATTTGTGAATTGTTAATTTTTGTCCAATATCAGATTGTCTGTGCATTCAAACAAAACAATGTTGGCAACTCTGGCATTCTGTTTGACCCCAGTGCTAGGACTGCACTGGCATTAAAAACACTTTAGAGCTGATGGGGAGCCTGAGTTCATGCTTTTTCGTAATCAGGGCTAAAATGCTTCCTTGCGAATCAGAGCTTGAAGTAAAGATCATTAAGAAGGTAAGCTTTCCTTGTCCCTTTTTTCAGACAAGGAATGCAGCACTAGATTTTTATCCACTAATGAGGTTGCTGGTTTTATTGCATTCAATGCTAGGTAGGATCTTCCACTATGGTTCAATTGGTTTGATTGAGGAACCTTGTAGATCAATTCATCTTTTTGCATTGGACATTGCCAAAAAAATCTGGTATCATCCTCCCACATTTTATCAAAATTTGAGAATGGCATTATGACCATTAGCAGACACCGTTCGAAAGGGCATATGGTATAAAACAAATGTTATCAAGGTATAATTTTCACTATGAAATGTGATGATATTTTTGTTCTGGTAGAGACAAAGTCAACCAGCCAAAAGCCTTTACATTACTACAATGGCTTCAAAGAATAATCATTTTACATCAATGTCTCTCCCTGGTAAACTTTCAGATAAGTGAGAATGAAAGTTCATATTCGACAATGATCTTTAATGATTTATTATTGTTTGATGGTTTTTTCAAATCAAATAACAGCTGAACATGGAGCTTAATTTCATTTTTAAGTCAATTTGTACACTTAAAAAGGGTTGATGGTCTCATTTATTTCCTTTGTGTGTCTTGTAACAAACTAAGCAGCCATGCACACAAAATTTTGGGAAACAAAAGGGTAGGTATGCTCTACAAATAGTTGGGAAGATACACTATGTTTATACTGAGTGATATTTTATTTGGATCATGATGGGATTCTTTTAAAAAAAAAAGAGAAGAAGCACTAGCTGTGTCATCAAGTTGATCTAAATACGTTTTCCTTGATTGCATCTCCAGTTACAAATTAATTATGAGCCTGCTGACATTAAAAACACTTTGTACATTATTAATTGAGATATTGTCATATTGATATGATTCTGTGCAGCAAAGACAATCATTCTCTTCACCCACTGATTTTGTCTGGAGTGCTTTTTCATTTGATGGTTAATGCTGATCTCAAGGAGTTGAATTACAGTGAATAAAGAAGCCACTTGGGTTGTATCTTAGCTTGATTTTTGGGAAGCTACATCTCAAGTTTGTTTTGGGAACAAGAAAAAGTCCTATTGAGTTTCTAAAGTTATAGTTAGGAAGCTTTGTATGTTTGAACAACATTGGTCGCTGCTTTCATTTTCGTCCTTTGGATTAAATGGTTTTGGGGTCCTATCAATTTCTTTATTTTTCTGATCTATATAGGTGTATGCAATGCCTTCTATCAGGATTCATGAAGTACATAACCAAATACTTTCTTCTCTTTTTTACAGGGGTTACCTATGGAATATTATTTTTCGAGTCCAATACAAACATCTACCATGTGATGATGGTTTCTCAGTCGCCCCCTAATTAATTTTTTTTTGGATTAATTTAAAGTCTTGTGCTTTCAATTACACAGGGGTTTGGATATCTAGGCGGTGCTTATGCTGGACAACGACCATTGTTCCTTGCTGTTATTGATTTGTTTGCGTCGACAGGCGGTGGGCTAACCTCTCTTCTTTTCATCTTTGTCCATCATAGGAAGCGAAAATTTTCTATTTCTGAAATTAAAAGAGCAAGTTCTCGCATAAGATCATGCGTCTTAAATGTTTTTGGCCGACCAGATGGGTTCTTCTATGCGACTTGAAGCATGCTGCGGGAAAGTAGATAGCCCTCACTTCTGGTTTTTATATATTAATTGCTTATGAAGATTTTAGACTTCTTTGATCTTTGATGCATTTTAGTTTGTTAATCTAGGATATGACATGACTGATTTTGTGATGAAAGAATCTGCTCAACATTTCTTTCCTATATGTTGTTGTTTATACAGAGACAAGGTTTGAAAATAGTTATAAGCTACCCACTTACGTTGGGATGTGTTTTGGCGCCAGGAATGTAGTAGTTCTTATGTTACGGTGTTCTTCCAAATTCATAATCAAATGTTGATTGAAGTTGGATATAGCAAATGAGATCACAAATACTCTCCTTATTATTAATAACCCACAACTGCATGGAAATGGAGGATAGAACACAAAAATTATTGATATTTGACTTTATACCTGGCTGGTTATGCTTTCAACATTTGTGTAGATGATGGTGGAAGAGGTTTTGATCGAGGCGGCCATGTATGGAGAGGAGGTAGACATGGTGGATCGAAAGGGTACTTGGACCATATTGTTCTTCCCAAGCAAGATTTTGGCAATCGGTACTGATTAAAAAGAATTTTTACATTGAGTGACCTTCAGTGAGGGCAATGAATAAGCAAGATAGTGGCTATAAGATAGGGTAGGCTACTTTCTCCAGGTCTTTGCCAGATTGATTTCGTTGAGCTAACACCAAATTGGTACTTGCTTCCGTTCATGTCAGTTCCTCCAATTCATTTTGTGAAAATTAATTTTTTTTTATATAAATTCGATAGTCAGAATTTGGTATTATTCAATAGTTTCACTAAAGTCACATCTTTAGATCAGTAAATTAGGTCATATTTTTAGGAATAAATAAGATTACTCTTATT